GTTATACAGATAAGTTGGATGCATATTTTGTAATACGTTCATTTAAAGGTAGACGGATTTAGAACCACATCCGAGATGTATAATGGCGAACATAACATGACACTTGCGATAATCTATATTTACTAGTATACGAAGAAAAGTCAATATCGCCCTCCTTTTGTCAATAATACAACATAATTCACTTGAAAAGGATTCTTTCTATAATAATGTCGCAACACAACCAAACTTCAGCCACTTCAATGACGTTTATTTATCAACCGACAACTTCTGAGGAAATTTTGAATATTTTTTAAGACCTTCATTTAAAAAGAGTCCCATAGAATATAGTTTACAGAGGAAGGCGGAAATAATGTAACTTTTGGCTGACAGGATAAAGTGACTAGATTGTTGAAGGTAGAACTTTTGCGATATTTCTTTTTATATTAAAAGGAAGACATGAAAGGAATATGATAAAAGCTTTAAGAATATATTTTATTCCGTAAGACGAATAAACATAGGGTTATCTAGGACACACTTTCGCGAAAAAAATGATTGAAACTGTGTGGCATTAGATGTTTTTTTTTTTACAAAAAAGGCCACTTGTCAATACGTTTGTAGAAACTAATAGAACGTATGTGTTTTCTGCATTTATCGTTTAAAATTCCAAGTAACTAAAATATTGCCAATTGTATCTAAGTTATGAATCAATTGAAACAATTGGTTTAGTTTATTTATTGGCACAAACAGATAAACAAATTTTGCCACAAATTCATAAAGTCAATCTTGTTCTGCATGAGTTTCTTAATACTCAGTTGGTAAAGGTTTGAAAGTTGACGAAAACGTTTTCGGGTCATAGTCATGTCATGGTGCCAAACTCAATCTCAATATTTTTGATACTCTTCCTTTGGGCTAAAATATTTCATCGAGTTATGCCTTCTGGGGTGTTACAGACCAAAGTCGAAAATTTTTCGAAAATCTTATTTTTTATATAATTATTTATTTTCGAATTCGTTAGTTTATCATTTGTTGACGATTAATAATTCAACCTAGTATCATCCAATTGCATTTAAAATCTACCTTTTAGAGCTTAAAATTAAATGAGCTTCAAAAAACCAAATTAACAATTTTCGAACAAATACTTATGCTAAATGTCCTAAATTAAACATAGCTGCCACTGAGCGTTTGTTATCTTGCCTGGCAAGCCATCTTAAAACTTCAAAGAACGTACATGTAATTTTGAAAAAAAAAAAAACAATTGGGGTGATATATTGGTTTTGAAAACCTGTGTTTGATATCTACATCTATGTTTTCTTTCTTTTCCAGACACAATATGGTATTCAGCTTTGTAGTGAAAATATTTTACCTTCTCAGTATTTCAAAATGTAAGTTGTGAAGTTTTGTCTGGAGATAATTTGTAGGTTATTACCGAATTGCCAAATGTCAGTATGAACAAATCCTACTAATTTATAATGTCAATGTCTATAAACAAATATCTGGTGTTCCAGAAACATTTAGGCTGATATCATTAAGGCATTGTAAAGATGTTTTCTAAATTTTGTATGTGTATCGGGACACTGATAACATCAATTTGCACCATTCCAATTTTCGATTGCGAAGGGCCTTATGTGATAAAGCATGTTCTGCGATTAGTAACATCATTAAAAACTTATTTTCAGTGAATTTGCAGGAACCTAAGACGCCTGATCGAAAAAGGGCATGGCTCAAATTGATGCTATCAGTGTCCCAGATACACATAAAATATTCAGAAAACCTCTTTACAATCCCTTTAAAGGTTACGTCATCATTCAGTCAAGTTTTTACATAAACTACAGCCGCCAGAATGATGCAAATATAAACTTTTGGTGTCATTGTTACGTACATAAAAGCTAGAAAACTTCTTTTGAATCAGTTCAAATCAAAATTGTGTTCTTACATAAAACCAGATTTTTTAATTAGTTAGTACTTGAAACTTAGATAAACACGAGAGTTATAAATCTTTCAGTTTTTCATTATTAAAGATTAACACTGATTCAGTGTTTATATCGTGTTAAGTCAAATATTTTACAAAATGTCGGACATGCCACTTCTACATCGTGTATTATAAAAGAAACTCTAGCGCTTAAGCTACGGGTAGATAATTTTGTCACGAATTATGATATGTTGAGGATTTATGCCTCCAGAAATAAGAACCATTGACTCAGCCATTGTTCTGAGGTAATAATGCAGTTACAAGAATCATGTTTGTATGCTTCCGTATACACCAGATACACAGTGATCGCTACTAGGTCGAATTGAGAAAATTTCTAACATTATTATACCCTACACCAGGGGTTATCAACCCTTTTCCTTCTATTACCTCTTTCATTTCGTGATTTCTCTTCGTTATCCCTGCATTCGAATAGAGTCCAGCTGAATAAAAAAACTTGAATTATAATTAACCAAATATTTTTTGCTAGATTACAAAGCCCCTAATTACTCCCCAAAATTACTCCAAGGTTGAAAACCCCTCCCTTAGAGGTCGCTTTCAAGAGAAAGCTTGGTATCTCAAAACTCACCATCTTAGTATGTAACACACTTCACATAACAAGGTAAGACGATCGTTTAACAGTAATGTAAATTATCTTGTATCAGGTAACTGTATGTCAACATGTTATTGTATTCTAGGTGTTACCAGTCTTTGTAATTTGGGGCGAGATTCTTATAATTTGACCGACTGGACAGGTGAACTTCATAGTCCCGGTTACACAAGTGGGTCTTATCCTGACAATCAACTGTGTACTTGGACAATCCGGGTCAGTAAGGGCAGTCGCATTAGATTGACGTTTACATCCTTTCAACTTGAAGATGGAGCTTTGGCTGGCGAGAAAACGGCTTGTTATGATGAAGTTCAGGTATACACTTTTAAGTCATAATTACAAAGTAAGAGATTATCCAACTGGAAACAAATGCGTAATATCTCTTTTGAGTAAGTTACACCATCAAACGAATGTCAGTATTTTCTCTGAATGAAATGAATGGATTTTCATGTCCTACTTTCCCCATGTCAACCCAAGCAATCGGAAATCACTGACATGGAGTTACCGAGTAAAAAATCAAAACGTATCATCTCGACCTGGACCTTCAGGTTACTGAGCAAGCGTCCCATCCACCAAGTCATCGCGGCACCCAATATTTTCTTTTAGTAACTTAGAAATGGCAAAGAGCGTGGTATTGCTGTGTCAGTATAAAAACACCGGTGATGGAAGGAAAATAAATTTCAGGATTACCAATTACCTCTCTTACAATTATCTCCATCTTTTTTTTTCATATCCTTTAACCACTCACGTTGTTTCTTAAATGATAAAATGTACTGTGTAGATTATAGAAGGAGGTACAGAGTTATTAAAAGAATGTGGGAGTCAAGTAAACCTACCACCAATAGAGACGAGAACCAACGAAGTTACAGTTATATTTACTACGGATGAGAAGTCTAGTAACTCTGGATTTAGACTTGAATATACAGGTACCACTTTATAACCTTAATTTACAAATAGCTGTTGCCTCGTTCAGTATATGAGAACAATACATAAATTGTATATTCTTTCCATCCGTCCTTTTCCAGCCTGGTGTGCTTCTATCTTAATGGCTCGTCTCCATAAATTTGATATAAATGGATGTTTTAAGATCCCATGCCGATCGTGTTCTGTACATTATTGGGTAATAAATGCGGAAAACGCCATGTTATATTTAGCGAAAATTTGCAATCAAGTTTTCCGGGACGAACTAAATATCTTTCAAAAGCGAGGGAGCAAGCTGAACCATTGCTGCGAAATTCGTTCGCTTTGAGATTCCTTATTCGCTAATATACTTTGCTGAGTAATTAACGATGTCTTTCAGGAATATGTTCCATCGATATATACCAGAACAGTACGATCGAAACTCCAAATTACCCTAATTCACCTCCAGATGGTGTTAGATGTGATTGGAATATCAACATACCGAACGATACAGCGGCTGTAATACAACTGAATAATCAACAGAATAATCTACCGTCATGTAATATTTCACCGTTAGTGGTAGGTGCATTGTCTTTAGTTTTGCGGATGTTTGTATTGAAATAGATCAATAAAAATAATGATAAACTCTTTATCTTACATGGGCCAGCATAAGGTTCAATACACAAGGACATGGTCCTATCTAACATTAAGCCCATGGGAACAATATAATGACTGAATGAAAAATAGCTTCTATGAGATCAGTTCTTTTGTTCTTAGTAATTCTTGTTGAAAGCTTATCAGAATTTTGGAAGCATTAGATCATCACCATTATTCAAATATTCATAGTACAAGTCGTTATAGATACAGTATTTTCATTAACCATGATTACCTCAAATATCAAGTACACAGAGGCGACTAACACAAATCAACTTTTCAGCAATCTCATTTTGATATGTTCCTTTAGGTTACAAGAAAACAGGGAGCACAAAAGACTCACAAGATATGCCTATTGGAATCGAAGTCGTTGCTGTTTAAAGATGTTATCTTTAGTTATGATCCTACTGACGGTAATGTCCCTTGGAATGGTACCTTGAAAGTTGAATACTTGTGTAAGTATTTTACATACATGAATATTTTTTATTATCATATCATGGATTTTTCAAAAATATATATCTCTTAAAGAATATTTCAAATTTAATATTCTGTTCTCGAGAATAAGTGTAGTACTTAGAAATAAGTTGTGCGTTGCTGTGCAGTTACATACAGCTACACTTGTGATATTTTGATCCATTTGTGTTTTCTTTTTCAGCGAGTCCACAATGTGAATATTTATGTGTAAATGCTGATAATTGTAAAATACCAAGATTTGTGAATGGTCAAGGTTATAGGTGTATCTGTAACGATGGTTACACGGGTAGGAATTGTGATGTCAAGCAAGAAATCGTCGACCCATGTTTCCCGAAAAGTTGTCAAAACGACGGAATCTGCGTACAATTAAGAGGACGCATGTTCACCTGCAACTGTCCAGTCAACTTCACTGGAGAAATGTGTGAACTTCCGGTAGTTCGATGTTCTCCTAATTTCTGCTTGAATGGTGGTATTTGTGAAGACACCCCTGGTAAACCAGATTGTGATTGTCTTAAGGATTTTACAGGTGACAGATGTGAGATTCAAATTAATCCTTGTGATTCTTCCCAACCACCTTGCCAGAATCAAGCCAAATGTATACCCAGTGGTATCGACTACGAATGTGTTTGTCCTCCAAATCTCAACGGGAAGAATTGTGAAAATGTAATTGACCCTTGTTTCCCAAACACCTGTCTGAATAATGGTGTTTGCGAAAAGAACGACATTGAAGCACCACGATGTTCTTGTAAAGCTCCATTCACTGGTCTACGTTGTGACAGTTTAACTGATCCATGTACTGGACAAGAGTGTCAAAATGGCGGAATATGTACATCTAATGGAGCATCTTTCAAATGTACATGCGCTCCTGGATTTACTGGTCTTACATGTTCAGTTAAAGTAGACCTTTGTACTCCCCAATCGTGTTCAAACAATGGTGTTTGCAGCACCATAGATGGTGGTATTCAGTGCAAATGTTCTTTTGGATTTACTGGACCAACCTGCTCTGTTCAGGAAGACTTTTGCGCTACAGAGTCATGTTTAAACAATGGTGGTTGTTCCATTGTGGAGGGAAAAGTTCAATGTACGTGTCGGGATGGATTTACCGGCCTGAAATGCGAAGGTGTGGTTGACTTGTGTACACCTGAATCTTGCTTAAACAATGGTATTTGCAGTACAACAAATTCCCAGATTATGTGTAAATGTCCAAATGGTTTTTCTGGTCTGAGATGTGAAGTTGAATTGGTTAGCCATGCAAAAATGGCGGAACATGTCTTCCCAACAAAATGCTGTTTACCTGTAACTGCACTAAAGAATTTACAGGAGCGACATGTGAGACAAACCTATGTAAAACCATTGACTGTTTAGATGGTGAAATCTGTAGCGTTGCTGATGGTGGTCCTAAATGCTTTTGTCCTGATGGCTTTGGTGGTGCGTCTTGTAAAACAAAATTAAATTCATGTGTCTCAAATCCTTGTCAGAACGGTGGTTTATGCTTGGAAACCTCGTCTGGATTTAGATGTGAATGTCCACTAGAACTAACTGGAGAAACTTGCGCGGATTTTAACATCTGTCAGGCACTGTGTATGAACGGTGCGACCTGTGTTGGTGATGGTGATGACGTCTCTTGCCAATGTAAGGATGGTTTCTCTGGCTATATGTGTGACGTGATTGATAATGGTTGTGCTTCTTCGCCATGTAAATATGGACGGTGTGTTCCTGATGACGTACTTGGTTTTAAATGTGTTTGTGATGATGAAATGACAGGAAGATTTTGTGACATTCATAAAGGTATACCGTATCTATCTACTTTTTGGTTGGGGACAATTTTGATATTCCGACAAGCATTATTTGCGAAGAGAATCAATATCCTTGACCATAAACATGTAGTGCGAGCCTTGGATTCTGTTAAATCACCTTAATCGTGATGTACCATATGCTAGGAGCCAAGGAAAATATGTAAAATTGCCTTTTGCTAGGTGGCATCATAGCGTGGACCTAGTGTTCAACTCTTTTCATCAACACCGGATCTGAAAAGCTTATGGATAGGTCGATTACTTTATTAAATGAAACACATTATAATAAAAACAACTGATATGAAGGATATACCCATTGTCCGATATGACAGAAACCACATGGCATTGTACAACTTCCCTTTTATATAAGTTTAATGAATTACTATCACAGTTATTCTCTGACCCTACAGCTCTTGGATAACCATAAAAATATCTAATGATACTATAATGTATACTATCTAGGTCAAAGCCATTGTACTGAAGATCAAGATGATATTGAATCAAGTCGTATTGTATGGTACGCTACAAATACCAACTCCTCTAATACCCAACCGTGTCCAGAGAATATCATAGGTAAGTCTTGGTATCAATCCGATTAAAGATTGCGTATTTAGATGTTTCTCTATACTTTATACAAATACTCCATACAAATTGCTCTGTAATCTAAAGACAAAATATTACCAATGTGGAATGGAGTCAAGTGCTCCGAAAGGGTGAAATACCTGCCTCTATTTACAAACCAAACACGGTCATTTAATTATTCAACGAATAAATGCTCTACTTAATATATCGTTTTATTTATTGCTCCCCCAAGAACAATTGGATTTTAAATTCAAATTAACTGAAATAGACAATTTGGCCCATATATTTTAATTCAGGTCATGTTTTAGCTCGCGACAAACCACACAGCATGTAAATAAATGGCATGTGAGGGGAAATGTATTAAAATGTTATGTCTTGAGTAAACTTTGTCTTGAGTAAACTTGTTGCTTGAATTAATTTAAGTTATCCTATAATTAGCGTTGGTTGTGAAGAGAATGGAATATCAGGCTAGACCTCTAGTTTTGCATATGAACTTATTTCCTAATATATTTTATTCAAACCATAACTGTTCCGCACACAGAGCCATGGTCATTCCATTCTACTGTCAAGGGTCGTATCCCTGATAAAACTGATGGTGGTATTTTCGAAGGAAAGCTCCAAGGGACCTTCAGGCGGCCAAGACGGTCACGGTCCGTCAGTTTGGATCGCATACTCTTTTTCAACGTGTTGACTGTCGTCCCAGACCCTGATTATAGATGTGCAGGTCTGTGTTTTTATATTTGTATAGGTATGGCTGAAAGATTTTGTGTGGAAGACAGCGCATCGCCAACTGGTGGTAGATGGACTCGTCCTGATCTTAGTTTTTGTGTTCGACCGCAGTTTTTCCGCCTTATTATCAAGGTACGATTTGTGTTAAAATTAAAAGGGAGAGGGGAGGGATGTCAATTGAATAAAATAGGAATGGGCTTCCATTAATATTTAAAGAAAGAATCCTTGTTTGAAGAACTTCATTGGTTAAAGCCTTTTCATACCGATACGACTTCAAATTGTGTTTTTCTCTATTAGCAATAATCTGAAAATTTGTTGTTATAATCACTTTATTTATTTATGAAATATCCGTTATAAATATACTTCGGTACTTCAATTGACGCCTCAAAAATAGTTGAAACCATGCACATTATTTAAAACAGATGAAAAACGTTTTGGCATCTCAAAAAACATAAATATGATCTGTTCTGTTTAAGGCTACTCTGATGATTGGTTTCAAGAACCTCAGTGGAAATGATCTGGCAGATATATCATCAAAGCTGGTGTCCATCACCTCAACCATGGCAAACAAAGATGAGGAAGCACTGTATCCAGGGGATTTAAGTGTGGCTAGCAATACTATTAATCTTATAGCTGAACATCTCAGACGTTCTGAGTCATTAGTTGATACTGCAATAACAGTAGCACAGGTAGGTGGTGTTTTTTAGGAACTGCTTGCTCGTTAAGTATAGGCAATATACTGTGTTTAATGTTGCCTTTCCAGCGATATACGATATCGGTTATATTCGAATCAAAGTCATCAAAAACAGTTAACATAACAAGAGATTGTACAATTATTCATCAGTTTAATACTTTGAGAATTTTGATGGGAGATCCATCAGTAATAGTGCTGTTTTATAGCGCATCTAACTAGTGATTTCATTGAAATCAGCGGGTTTCAGCACCTTTTCTATCTAGCAAGTTGTATCTACAAGCTTAGGTTTTGAAAACGGTAAGACAACGATATTATTCAGAGGTGGTGGCTGAAACTTAGAAAGGTCTGAAATTCTCACATAAGCCACAATGTTGCGCTTTTCCAATATATTTGTATTTCGCTTTCATGACACTGCCATGTTATACCACTTATCATAAGGTTTTGCTGGAGCAGTGTGTAGAAACACTCATTTGCATTTCCACTATTTTTGATTTTGAACAAATGTATTTCACTGTCTTTGTAAAAGACCACACATCCAAGGTCGCCAGCATGGCTTCGTTACAACTATTTGATCTACTTTATATATTATAATGAAAACCATTGTAATGGTATGGGTTAATATTTACCGCTTGTAATAAAGTCACATCTTTCATATTTATGGATGCTTTAACTCTGCTCTTAATCGCTGTTTGTGATAAACGCCTCTGTTTCAGGACATCACTAAAGCTATGGATTCCATTATTAATCCTGGAACGCAGCAAGCATGGGAGAATGCAAGAGCTGTGAGTATTAAATCTAGCAAAACAGTAATTTAATAACACAGACAGTTCATCACTCTTTTTTATCTTGACTAATTAGACGCCTGAAAGTAAAAACCTAAATTAAGTAATACCGGTGTATAAAATCAACATGTTTTATTTTTCAGAGTTTAGCGTTTGATTCAGTGAAGTTACTGTTGAACTCGTCTGAGGCAATGGCTGAATATTTTGATAAACCTCTTCGGTTAAATCGTAATAAAAGAGACACAGATGGTCCTTATGGCTATAACTTCGTTGGGAAAAATGTCGGTAAGTTGTAGCTGTTGGCAAAAGGTATCTCCGATTGAGTATACCGAAATCCAGATCGACAGTCAAAGCTTCAGATAAATATATGCATCTTCATGAGTTTTTTTTATACTCATATCTGAATATACGGTACTGCCTTAGACTCTTTATGTTAAATTATATAAAGCTGCTGTAATTTTAGTGAAGTTTATTTTATAAAAACGGAAGTACACTATCAAATTATTGTTACTGTTAAAACAGTACTTAATACATAAATTGAAGAGCGATATAGAAATATTAAAAAGAACTATACGTATTTTTTATAGACGAAGTAGGCCTATATCAAAACCGGTTTTTTTAGTTTCACATATCACATATATTTTAAAGGTTTTGTTTCATTTGTAGAAATTCAGATAGTTCAAATGAAGAATGGAGGCCAAACCTACTCTACTAATGATAGTAACAGTTTAACTTTACCAGGGTCTATTCTGGATATAAGTAGTCCGTTTAGAGGTAAAATGTTACATTTTATAATGGCGAAACATCCTAAACCTGTATGGTTGTGTTCATCATTACCGTTATGGTTAAATTCATATCCGGAACATCGCAAAATCCAATCACAGACATTTAGACCTTGTTCATATTCTATAATGGGATCATTAAATGTAACTCTTTGTTATGTTTAGTGTACTCAAAAGTGGGATAGCTGGGTTAAAGTAAGTAATAGTTTCGCTCTCCGAGAGAAAGAAAGCAGCCTAAATATAGATATGGTCCTCGCATTAACGATATCTTCTATTTTTTTTCCAGACTCTGTTAGTGTTTATAATGCTCGTTTCTCGTCGGTGGCGAATTTACTTTCCATGCAAGAGAAGCGTTTCGGGTATGTACCTGCTTAATGTGTATATATGGATGTGTCATGTTAGATTTTCTATTTCAAAAACATTCAATACATGATACATATGAATGTTTAAATTATTATCTCTTGAGAGTCCCGGCACTCTAACCATCTGGGCTTCTTTCTTTCGTTATAATAAAAATTGCTAGGGTACTTGATAGGTCATGGGCTCGACCATTAAAATTGAATTTAGTTAGCATATTTGTGGTTGTAGTAAGGTATGGCTGTAGGAATAATTGTCCTAAGATAACGCTATATAGCGCTGTTCGTCTAAGGTGTTACCTATGATGGGAATGGTACTAATCTTTCAGAGAGCAAGTTCGAGAACATCATGTAGTTTCTGAAATAATGTCGAGTAAAGTATTGGGATTCCCTGAAGGTCTCTTCAATGATCTTAAAGATCCAGTTATAATAACATTTAGGGTACAGGTAAGGATTTATTATTCCCCACAAATAATATGTCTTCAGAACCATATTGGTGTTTTTTGACCCGATTTTTCCCTGTCAGTGATGGTCGAAATGCTAGTAATTCTTCGTACTGTCAATAGTGTTACATATAATCATCCGTTTGGTTTTGAGCACTGAGCAAAATTGCATGATTAAAAAGTTGAATTTCGTTTTGTACACATTGAGAAATTTTGTATGTGATCCAGCTAGGAAAATAATTTTTCAATTGGTCATTAGGTGCAGAATTGCAAGACAAATTTATTCCAATCATGTATGCTTCATTTTTTAGTTATCAGCTATGAGTAGTAATTTCCTTTTCTATTTTGATAGGGCAGTTCTCAAT